ACGAAGCTTTGAAAATTGCCCAAAGAGTTTTTAACGGAATGACCAAAATCATGGATGGTGGACAATCTCAGAGACCATTTTTATTGATTTTGAATCTCAAAGACCATTTCTATTAATCATGCAAATCTTAAGGATCATTTTGAATGATAACCCGTGTTTTTTTTCTTGCTTTCAACAGATTCTAGATCAATGGTCCCTATTAATTGTTAGACCTAAAATTTGTTACCGTTGAGAAATCAACGGTTTTGATTAGCTTTTAATGTTTTTACCGTTGAACTATTAAAAGCACCAAATTGGAATTATTGTAATACATTAACGTTTGCTGCCATTGATTAAGTTCACTTGTCAATCAAACACCAAAAAAATCGAACTTAATCAATCCCACATGCAAAAGAAGCAAACGTAATTGGTTTAAAATCTACTGTCTTCTTTTCATTACGTGCTCAACTACCTACCTAATCAATTTGTCAGGACATAATCTAATAATGAAGCAATTCTAATTATGTTTTTGTGAAAAAAAAAAAAAAAAATTTGGTGTCAGAATTTGATTTTTTTTTTAGTTAAAATGTTCCAAAAAAAATATTTTACAACAACGTAACGTTAAATTAATTAAAAAATGTTAACATAAACAAAAAATATGCACGTAATCAAATTAACACATAAAATCGTAAAAATCTCAAATTTAGGGATTCTAATATAAGAACTCTCCCGTTGGAGGCAATATTCCTTTAGAGTCTTAAAGATTTTCTTTTAAGTCCTTAAATGAGTACTTGAACGTAGTGGTAGAAATCGTTAAATAAAGACTTCTATTGAAGATGCTCTTATGTGCTCCAGTCCAGCCTAACCCATTGGATCCGGTGGACACACCGATGCAGCTTCTTCTACTGATATGGATTGAAATCTTCAGGCCACTCAGTCATTGCGGACTGATTCCGTTGTAATAAAACCCAAATAGGCACCTTCCGGCAAAAGGCCAGTTTTTTAATGTTTGGGCCTTTCTGGCCCACTTTTATCCGATCCAGTGTTTGTTTCCTATGCCTAACCACCAGTCAAACCTCTACTTCTCTATCTGAAAGAGAAGTGCCAATATCTCCCCAGCGTGAGTCAACGGTTATCATTTTGTGAGTCATTTCTCAAGAATGTTTAAGATATGTTGCATTTGCTCGTGGTGGCATGCACGACTGATCCTAATATTATGGACCTTTATAAAACATAGACTATTTTTAGATCATGACCACATCACAAATATAAATTGTTTGACGTAACAGATTCACCTATTACATCAATTAGTATAATCGCTTGCTAATTTACAAGAACATGTATTAATGTGTGCTAACAATATGATCATTGAGAAACTTAGAAGCATACAATAATTTGTGCTGTTTAATCTTGAGTGGCCTAACAATCCACCCCCTAATGTGAAAACCGTATCTTATCTGAAATATGTGACGTGGTGTCTCCTCCTTGGATCTACCTGCATGCATCTACAACTAACTAGCTAGAACACAGAGAGTAGGGAACGTAAGTGACCCCTAAACCCTAGTTACCACTGAAAGACTGAAAGTGATACGGCAGATAAGATTTTGTTTTGTAATGGAGCTGGCCACATTCCTAAACGTGATTAAGCATCCACTAAACCTAATTGTGTTAAACTCCATGTGTTTAAGGATCTAATTATCTGTTGCTCTATACGGGACTTTGAAACTTTCTTGTAGTCAATGCCTATTGGTTTTGTCATGCATGCATGCATGCATGCTTGAACGCTCAGAAGATTTTTTCTGCACTTGTTGGAAACTCTATCGACATCAATTTTTGTGTTGTGTTTGATTCAACGAGGGATAAGGGCAAGACAAGAGTTGAACTCTAGCCTTATTGTAGTGTATGTCACTCTACCACTACAGCCTAAGTTCTAGAAATCTTGAGGTGTACATAAATAATGTTTTATAAGTTTTTGTCATACATACATGTCATTGTCTTGAGTCGTGTTACCGACAGTTATTTACTTGCATTTGATTGAGTGTTAGTTTGGGGTTGTTGTATTTTTTTTTTTAAGATGTTTTTGCAGTGCTGTGAGAATAAACAGCTGTGAAAAAAACAGGTAAGTATTTGGTAAACTGCAGTGCTAAAAGTTCTTTTAGAAAATAACAATATGGAGAAATGATTTGTTGATAGGAAAGTTTCATTAACTGGTGCTGTTCACATGCCTTCAATGAAAAAAAAAAACTTCATTGAGAAACATGTGTAGAGCTACTTCTACTTTATGCTGTTTTGGACCTATGATTTCGGAAAGGACAAAAAAAACATATTATTTCATCTATCAAACACAATTAAGGCTCCAACTTTCTAAAGAAATTTAAGCAACTGAAAACAAAAAACCAGCCTTGACTTCAGTTATTTAGGCAAATCCTATATCCGACTTACATCAACAACAATTCACAATTATTGAGGCGCATGTATATAAATCTACATGATATTTCTCTATCTTATTAGTACATCAATGACTAAGAGTCACAAGTCACTTGAGCAATACCATAAATTCATAGTATTGGTTGATGCAATTACTTGCAAGGCAATCTCTCTTAAATATGGACGATATGTATGCATTATGGTGAAGATGAAAGGTACACATACCTTGCATTCTTCACCACCCTATTAAGAAATTAGGTCTTCGTGCAATATCATTCAATAATTTAATAAGGAATATGATTGAGGTCGTTCTCATATTAAGTGTGATCAGCATAAAGCGAGTGAGACTAATATATAATAAATCTTATACTTTTAGAAGAGTGACTTACGTGTATAATGTGGTCAAGCATTCCTATTCATATTATTTTGTCTCAACGTATTATTGGGTCCAATTTTTGTGTCAATGAATCACACGATGGTGGTCATAAAGAGGTTAAAATGCCTCTATGAGTATTTTTGATCCTTAAAAGACTGGACAACCGTGACGAAACCATCAATTAATCTCCCTTTTGAAAAAAAAAAACATTTTGGAATGTTGTTACCCAATTTTCCAAAATTAGGGCTTACTAAAAGTGACTAGTGAGTGACATCCATCAATAACCAAACTTAGCAAAGTGCTTTTTCAAGAAGCAGCGTTCTCTCATCCGCTAAGCTCGTTGGACGCGCGTCAGAAACTGCACCAGAAAGATGGTGGATGAGAAAACACAAATGGGAAAGAAAGCGCAACCGTTTCCACCATAATATTAATATTCTTTATCATTTTCCAACGGCCAGTCTACCAGTCTACCAGTCCCAGAAGCTAATAGGCTAGTAGCTATTTTAATTAGGTGGAACTATATTGTCGACGTGTATAATTTAAACATTTATTAATTCCAAATTAAGATGACGAATGTGGTTAATTTTCATATGGTGCCAAATTTTTACCTTATATTATTGGGAATTTTTTTTTTTTTTTTCGTTTCTTCTGAAAGCTTCCAGTCTTTGAGCATTGTTGACTTGGTCTTCCCCATTTATTATTTTATTACTAATGAACAATGTGATTTTGGCTTTGAGCATTGTTGACTTAGAAAGCGGGAAAAGGATATTCGTCAGATTCCTTTTTTGAGGATTTTAAAGATTCTTACGATCGTGATCATTCGTCATACATCGTGCGATTATAAATTATTTCAAAATTTTAAATTAAATATAAATAATAACTAACGAAAATTGACCGCACGATGTACGATGAACGATTACGACCACGGGATCTCTAGGATCCCCAAGAAACCAAGAAAAGAAGGATCCTTTTCCTAGAAAGTAGCTTATGCATCCAAAGTGATTTTGGCTTATGCTATTGGGTTAGAAAGTGACATGGATGTTATTTTAGGGGGTGTGATTTTATTTGTCTAGAGAAGAAAAATGGTTAAAGTTTACACTGTTAGAATATGTATACGGTTCAATATTTATTGGGTTTTCCCTCATGCGTTACAAGTTTGGAATTTTTCCTTCCCTAAATTATTGTGATAGTTTCGAACCCTCTTACTTCCCTTATTAGGAGAAATTTTTTCATGTGACTAGAACACACACCTCAGCATTACAAGTGGTGTTCCCCACTAATAACATCTTAACACCTTTCTTACATAAATACAATTAATTAAAAAATAAAATTAAACCGACTCCCTGTATTCCCAATCTCCAAATCGCCTCCCACACCCTTCTCCTCCCATGCCTCCCCCATCGGCCCACTCCTTGTCAGAGACCTACATCGTCCACCCTACCCCACCCCCATTCATCCCTCCCTTCCCCACACATTTCTCCCTTTCTTTTTCATCTCAATGTTTTGTCCTCCTTCTTGTGCTCTTTCTGAGATGGACACAAGGGATGTTGAAAGACAGATCTTAATTCAGAGGCCGGAGACGGCAAATCTAGGTCGACGGAGGTGGGTGGTTCTAATAGGGTGGGGGAGAACAAGAGAAAGGGGGGGGGTAAGAAAAAGAGGAAGAGAGAATATATAGAGTGTCGCCGGTGGAATCACAAAGCGGCGATGGAGGTGGGTGGTCGGCGTGGAAGGGGGTAGTCGGAGAGTTTTCTGACTTCTTTCTCTTTGAACTATAGGGGTATATTAGGAATTTTGTTTATTAATGCTTATCATAAATATCAAAATGTGGCAATCTTTTTATTTCAATAATGAAATAGGCACATGTTAAAGTTGTATTGGTTAGGAACTCTAAGTAAGCTAATGTGTTAGTCATCTGGAAAAATTTCTCCCTTGTTAGAATATGAGCAGCCAAACTAATTAATTATACATTGTGAGATTTCACTCAAAACACACTCTTTCGTCAAATAGTTTTCGAAACTCTTTTTTTTTTTTTTTTGGTATCATCTAAGTCAATACATGTCAAATGTGAGGATATAATAAAAAGAAACAATTGATTTTACTCAAATTGATACGGAAAAGAAAAAATAGCCACGCATGAAGAATAAGTGTGATTTCCATTATGAAATTAAAAGAAAAAAAGTGAGTTCATCTGTTTTGCGATTGGAGTTGAAAAAAGTTACAGAAAATCGATGCTTTACTAAACTCTTTACGTCTTTACAAAGTTTTTCAACATTCCACTGTGGCGCTTACAAAATACTAAATAGCATTCTAATCACAAAATATGTACAAATTAATCCTCCTTCTTGCTAAAAACCGAAAACAGCCCAAAAAGCAAAAAACCAACTACAAAATGTGAAAGCCAAAAACCCCAAAATTAGGTTCAGTATTTCCAAGATTGTTACTATTAATTACTTTAACACATTAATCTTCGTTTAATCGGTCTTGAACTTGATCACAGTCGACTTTCCCGTTTCCGTTACCGCTACCGTCACCTTGCCATGTCCATACAATGTCTTTCAATGCTGGCCTAACATCTTCCTCACAAAACTTGGCATACTCCAAAGTATCCCCGGACGACTTCGTAAACTGCACCACCGCCACCTCCGGCGCCACCTCGAACACCTCCGCGGTCACCGAAAGCCGCCCTTTTCGCCCTTCATTCGGCCCTTGCATCCTTAATTTGAAGTCCTTTACTTTCCCCACTTTAAAGCTTAGCCCCTTTGCCGCCGCCTCGATCTTTGCCATGATCGCCGCAGCCGAGCACTTGGACGTGAACACGGACCCGGCCTTCCGCTTCTTCTCGAACAAATTCGACAAGTCGAACCCGGACGACATCGAAGAAATGAACTCAAATGCATTGAAGAACTTCGGAGGGTCGCTCCCGTCGGACTTTTCATCAACACCTTCCGTGGGTTCCGTGAACTCCTCCTGTTTCTTCATCCCTTTGCGAAACCACGGCGTGCGCATGATCGCCGGAATGGTGATTCGCTTCTCCGGGTCGGAAACCAACATTTTCGAGATTAACCGCTTCGCCTCCGTCGAAAACCACGGCGGACATTCAAACTCCGCCTTGAAAACCTTCCTGTACATGTTCATCAGATTCTCGTCCTGGAACGGCAGAAACCCAGCCAGCAAAACGAACAGCACAACTCCACACGACCAGATATCCGCCTTAGATCCGTCGTACCCCTTCTTCCTCAGCACCTCCGGCGCCACGTAAGCAGGAGTCCCACACTGGGTGTGCAGAAGCCCGTCGTTCCGGAGCTGCTCCGGCAGAGCGGAGAGTCCGAAGTCGGAGATTTTCAGATCCTCGTTTTCATCAAGCAACAGATTCTCCGGCTTCAAATCGCGGTGGGAGACGCCCCTGCTGTGGCAGAAATCGATGGCGGAGATCAGCTGCTGGAAGTACTTCCGGGCCTGATCCTCCTTCAGCCTCCCCTTCGCCACCTTAGCGAAGAGCTCGCCGCCCCTGACGTACTCCATAACGAAGAAGATCTTGGTCTTGGTCGCCATGACTTCTTTCAGCTCCACGACGTTCGGGTGGCGGACTAAACGCATCACTTCGATTTCCCGCTTGATCTGCTCCATCATCCCTTCCTTCTTCACCTGGTCCTTGCTGATCACCTTAATCGCCACGCTCTCGTTCGTCGCGATTTGTCTGCCATGGTAGACCTTCGCGAAGGTCCCCTTGCCCAGCAGCTTCCCCACCTCGTACTTCCCGAAAAGCGCCGTCCTTTCCTCCATTGACTCTGGGAAATTAGGTATTGGGAGTAAGATGCTCTTTCGTCAAGGAGTTGTATTCTCGGAATTGTCGACGCACCAACCGCGATTAAACAAATGATTTGAGTTGTCTAATTGAGATTTGGAAAATTAAACACCAAATGTATGAGAAATATTGAAACTAAAGAGCGGATTTGAGATGGGTTTTGGTTAATTTGGGGAGTTGGGCTCATGGTGTGATGGAATCCAAGAAAGAATGGCTGAGATACTGATCCGAGTGGATTCCATTCAAGGGGTTTAAAGACTAGAGGGAGGTTTGGATTTGGAGAGAGAAAGAGGAGGCGAGACAGAAGGATGGTTGGCATGACGCCATTGGAGCACCTGGTATTTTCTGTCAGAACGGGGACTACGCACACAGAATCATGTTTTCATAAGGGCGTGTGGTGAGCAAGATTACAGAAACAAGCGGACGAGTTTTATTGGTCCAGATATAACAAACCCTAATATTTCTTCGATTTTAATAATTGACGAGAGTGGTGTTACACTTACCATCTACTTATATTATCATTTATACCATATCTCTATAGAGAAAAATCAACCAACACATATGAGTTTCATATTTATTAGAGAAATGTTACAAATTATAATACAACTAAATGATTCAAAGACGAGATATGACCCAAATCCTCTAAAACACTAACCAATATTTTTTTTTTTTGACAAAATGATAGGATAATAATAATATAGACTAAACTATGGGGAGGGAGATATGACTACGAGATCTCTGGTGCATAGACAAATGCTCATAATCAACTGAGTTATAAGACACTTGCCGATGACCAATAATTTCACTATGTAATTTTTGAAGCATTTGTTCGTCTTTTAATTAGGGTAATGCGATAAACACTCACACCACATTTACTTCTCACACTTCTTTTAATTTTCAACTGTTGAATTAAATAAATTGAAGAAGATTAATGGTAAAAAATTAACAAGAGTGTGAAAACTAAAAGTGAGTACATGAATAACACTATCTTTTATTAGTTTTCTTTTTATTTATTTGAAAAGTAAGCTGAAACGAGAATTTTCTGGATTAATAAATAATCAAAATTAAATAAAGAAGATATATTAATCAAATATTGACAATATTATTGCTCGAATATCAAAATCATGAAAAGTAACCCTTACCCAAAAATCATAGCCACAAAAAAAATTAAAAATTAAAAAAAGGCAACAAAAATAAATATATAATTTAGGTAAAAAAACAAAGGGAAAAATTAAGTAAATAAAAACCAAATCCAATAAATCTACCGCAACTGCGTCAAATACCAAAATTTGCTAGACCAACTTAACCTTGAAATCGATATCACTCAACTTTCTGTATTAAGAAAACAGAAAGATTGCTGACCAAATTAGCATGCATTCTAGTTTTTTTTTTTTTTTTCCTGAACAAATGATATGATCTATACTAACGGGAATGGGAGGGTGAGCTTAGCCTCACAATGGGCTACCAAATCTAAAACCTCTCACTTACAGGTGAAGATGAATAATATTAGATCATAGTACTAAGTGGCATTCTAATTTCTATAATTATATTAAAAAAACAATTTTGAGTTCTCTCCTCTCTCATTTTCACTTTCTTCTAGTCCCCTTTCATTTAAACGCTCACGATTAAGCCACACTAACACAAGATATTGACTTATTGTATTGATTTCTTTATATAGAGAGACAGAGAAAAGTGAGAGAGAAGGGAATGAGGGGAGGGGATTTAGAGGAAAGAGACTCCTACTAAAAAACAAAACAGCTTTCTTTTTGTTGTAAATAGTGGGTATGTTTGCCCACATGTATATAGTAAAGATTCATATGCTAACTAGTGAAGTATTTGTAAGTTTTCAAAGTAGTTGCTCTATAAATAGAGCATTGAGTGTTCAACAATGAGAACAACAATATATTAGCAAAGATAAAGAAAAGTTAGAATATTTCCAATATCCTCCTATTTCTTTCTATGCTGCAATCTTTTTGTGTACTACTTTGCAACAGTCTCGCTCTTATCCCTAGCAAAGGTTATTTCTTTAACTTTTGCCTATTTATAACACGTTATCAGCACTAGTCTCTAACCATTTCTCATTTCTCTTCGTCGAAAGAAAAGAAAAAAAAAGTTTCCTCTAAGAATTTTACTGTTCTTCTTCTTCCTCTGCCTCAACTGTTAGATATACCCTCGCGAAGACTGTTTGCACCATGCCTGCTTTTAGTCCTTAACATAACAATTACTTATATCTTTGATTTCTTGTTTTGTGTAGCTATTGACTACTAACCCAGTGTTTATTTATGCAATCAAAGATGGTGTGGTATCATCGCCTATCTTGGACTGCAAATTTAATTTTACTACAAATTTTAGGTGGAACGGTATAATCATCCACCCTACTCTGCATATTTAATTTTATTACAATTTTAGGTGGTGTGGAATAATCACCCACATTGCTCTGCATATTTAAATTTTATCGCAATTTTAGGTGGTACGGTATAATCGTCCACCCTGCTCTGCATATTTAAATTTTCCTGCTGTTTAAAGTGGTACGGAATAATCGCCCATCCCCTATTTGTTTAGACAAGAATGGTGTGGTACAATCACCCTTCTCATTAATCATGTAAATCTCAAGCCTGAAGTTTCGAGTACTTATCATTTTGGCCTGAAGGTCAAAATTTGTAAGAACCAGAAGTTCTAGCAATATATTCCTCCATAATACATATTATTGCAAGTTCTTACACACCTCAATTTTCTTTCAGAAAAGAAAATGATGAACTTGGCGAAGTTGGATTTTGTTGCCCTGGATATTACTGGAAAGAACTACCTTACCTGGGTAATGGATGCCAAGATCCATCTGGAGGTAGGAAATCTTGGGGATACCATCAAGTAGGATACCAGTACATCCTCTCAAGATCGGATGAAGGCCATGATCTTTATCCGTCGCCACCTTGATGAGGGACTGAAGAGCGAGTACCTCACAGTTGAAGGTCCATTAACCCTCTGGAAGGCACTGAAAAATAGATATAATCACTAGAAAATGGTGATTCTTCCAAGGACTCGTTATGAGTGGGCTCACCTAAAGATCTAGGATTTCGAGGCAGTGGTTGAATACAATTCTGCAATATTCAGAATTAGTTCCCAATTGAAGCTCTGTGGAGAAACAATAATTGAGGAAGATACGCTGGAAAAGACTTTTAGCACATTTCATGCCTCCAACGTGCTCCTGCAGCAGCAGTATAGAGAAATAGGTTTTACTGAGTACAACCAGCTGATATATGTACTCCTTGTAGCCGAGCAAAATAATGAGCTCCTGATGAAGAATTATCAGTCCTAGCCTACTGGATCTGCACTATTCCCAGAAGTGAATGTTGTTTCCCTTAAAGGGAATACCACATCCTCTCGTGGCAATAATTACAAACGAGGACATGACCACAAGTGAGGCCGATGGAATAGGAAAGGCAAAAATCATGGTGTCCAGTTTCACAACCAGGTTCCAGGGCATAATACAGGCCCGAGTTTTAAGAATGCAAATCACCAGAAAGGTAAGGCTCATATGAACACTCCTAGAAATCATGAAGGAGTTTGCCATAGGTGTGGTTGCAATGGGCATTGGGCGAGTACCTATCGTACGCCAAAACATCTAGTGGATCTGTATCAAGCCTCCCTCAAGGAGAAGGGTGTCGAGACCAATTTCCTCGACCAGGCTCAACCAATGGAAATTCCTGATCCAGTGTCCAATTTATCAAGACAGTTGAACACAACCCACCTGGATGTTTTAGACTTTATTACTGAAAGAGGAGATGAAGTTTATAGGTCTGATTGAATCATTTATATTTAATGTACTCTTGTCATTTGTACTTGTGGTTTAATGCTCGTATTTTCAATTCAATAAAAGTAGTATTCCAGTATGAATAAACTGCTTTTTAACTGTAATTTTTTTACTTCGAGATCGAAAGTATTTCTCGAACTTGGTACTTGCAAAAGTAAAGGTAACAACAATATTAGGGGCAATCAGATGTAATTGAAGGCTCAGGAAAAGCCCAGATTATGATACTAAATGGAACAATATTATTCATACAGAATGCGTTATACGCTACTCAATCCACTCAAAATTTGTTGAGTTTTAAAGACATACGTCTAAATGGATACCACATTGAAACGAAAAGTGCAGAAAATGTGGAATATTTATGCATTACCTCTAATGATACCCAGAAGCGTATATTGGAGAAGTTGCATGGTTTATCGAGTGGATTGTATTATACATACATAAAAACAATTGAGGTACATACTGTCATGAACCAAAAGTTCATAGATTCAAAAGTTTACATGCTTTGGCATGACCGTCTAGATCATCCAGGATCCATCATGATGCGTAGGATCATTACCAACTCTAATGGACATCCATTATTGAGCAGACACATTACTACCTCAAATGATATCCCTTGTAAGGCTTGTTCTCAAGGGAAATTGGTAACTAGACCATCATATCTAAAGGTTGATGTTGAATCCCCATCATTTTTGCAAAGAATTCAAAGGGATATATGTAGGGCCTATTCAACCACCTTGTGGACCATTTAGATATTTTATAGTTTTGGTTGATGCATCTACTTGATGGTCACATGTTTGCATGTTGTCTACTCGAAATGTAGCTTTTGCAAGACTTCTTGCTTAGATAATTAAGTTGCGAACACAGTTCCCAGATCATCCCATTAAGTCAATCTAACTTGATAACGCTGGTGAATTTACGTCTCAAACCTTTGATGATTAATGTATGGTAATGGGCATTGATGTTGAACATCTTGTTCCTCATGTCCATACTCAAAATGGTTTAGCAGAGGCATTTATTAAGCAGCTTCAATTAATAGCCCGCACTCTGCTCATGAAAACAAAATTGCCAGTATTTGTATGGGGACATGCCATATTACATGTTGCATCATTGGTTAGATTGAGACCTATAGCCAACCACCAATATTCATCAATACAACTCGTGTTTGGGCATCAGCCAAACATTTCACATTTACGAGTTTTTGGTTATGTTGTTTATGTGCCTGTTGCATTGCCACAACGCACTAAAATGGGAGATCAGCGCAGACTGGGAATTTATGTGGGTTTTGATTGATCATCTAACATTAGATATTTGGAACCCTTGACAGGTGATATGTTTACAGCTCGTTTTACTGATTGTCACTGTGATGAGACAGTCTTCCCGTCGTTAGGGGGAGAAAAGACCGTTCCAGAAGAACGGCAAGAGCTGACATAGGTTGTTCCCACCTTGTCTCATTTTGATCCGCGAAGCATTCAATGTGAAAATGAAGTGAAAAAGATTGTTCATCTTCAAAGTATTCCTAATCAAATGCCAGATGCATTTAATGATGCTTCGAAAGTGACAAAGTCACATATACCAGCTGCAAATGCACCTGCAAGAATTGATGTCCCTG